TTTTTCACTCTCAGTAACTCATTTGCATACTAATAAGATCTTGGTGAAATTTATTATCTACCTAATCGATAAAAGTTGGTAACAATATTGTACTAATTGTCAACCCGCCTGATAGAAAATTATTGTCAATTTAAAAACTGTGTCAAACTATTTAAAGTCACAGTCGTACAACGTTTTTTGATTATCATATTTAAAAAAAATCAAATTCTGAAAATGATAATATTGGAAGGTTTGAACTGCCAAAACTGTCAAAAAGGCGGGCATTAAAGAAAGATGAGCCGTTAAAACCTTTTCATTTACAATCACTACTGAAATGTATCGATTCCTCCTAAACTTTTCGAAGTGGGGAAATTCCTCTTTCATCCCGTGGGAGGTAATATCTCAGGATTTTTTTGGTTCAGGCGTTGTACAATGCTTCATTAATGATTTCACTTTCACAAATTACAATAAACAAAGATCACGGTGATTACAATAATTGCATCGAACAAAAGTTTGTTTGACTAGAAAAAAACGAATTCGTTTTTGACATTTATTTATTGAGAAACATCACATGTCATAAATCAACGTCAATGGATCAACGCAGATTTTATTACGAATATTTTATTTAAAAAAATGTCATTAGCACTCGGGTTTCGCCCAAGTTCAATATCCGGAGGCCTCGCAGAATGACAATTATTTACCATCTCGGTTGTAATATACAGGGTGTCCCAGCCAGTTGTAAAAGTCCATTAGTGACCTTTAAATGGTAAAATTTAAAAAACTAAACTTATTTTCAACCATACAGCATGTCCTAAAAATAAGTTACGATACAAATTTGTGTTTTTTTTTTAATGAAACACTGTTTCCTGGCATTTTTAGATGTAGCCTTTTAAAACAATGTTTTTACGCTGAACTTTTATTAGTCGATTTCGCTTAGTTTTAGAAATAAGACGGTTTTTTTGACGAAAACATGCACTTTTAAAAAATTAATTACACAAAAACTAAAACAGCTAGAACAAGTTTTTTCTTACTTCTGCAAAGAAGAAAGTTCAGAATTTAAAGCTGTATCAATTTTTTAGTGTTTTGAATTTGTAAAGATTAATAAATTAAGAAGTTTGTTAACTCTTTCAGGGACGGTGGGTTAAAATTTAACCCACCTTTTTAACTCACCTTAATTTATATTTTTGAGCAGTTTTGATTATTAATGGTAATATTTTTAATAATACAGACATTATTCTTGTAGAGTTTATCACATTTTTTTTTATTTACAATCAATGAACTTAAAATTATTATGGAAACTATACAATTTATTAATCAATTTGAAATACCTACATTATTATGATACTTATTTTAACTAAATTGAATTGATTATATACAGATAATGGATAATGATTGTTATAAATACAAAGAGGAAAAAAAACAAAACAAAAAAATTTCTTTCATTCTATTTTGACTAGTAAGCTTCGTGACGTCATTGAGCATTACCAGCCTACTTAGGTAACCACTTTTGCTTAACATTACATTGATAAAATTTTGACTTTTTACTAACTGTATTTCGTATTATTCTTAGTTTTTTTGAGATATGAGTGGTATGTCCTGATGTGGAAAATTACAACAATAACATGAACTTTGTTGATAAATTTCATCAGTTGATGACGTACAGTGCATTTCGTCCACCCAATTTCTGTGAATTCACAAAAATTCACTGTAGCCTGTGCTTTATTGTCATAATAAATGACACTGTCACGTTTAATTAAATTCTTATTCATTTTGGACCGGATTTCCAACCTAAAAATGGATTGGTACTATTACTTCAAGCAATGTAAGACAAAGCACAGGTAAAAAGTATGTAAGGAATATGGGGCATTTTGTCAACATGATAAATGTTCATTAAAGTTCTCAAACAAGGTTAGAAAAACCTAAAAACTAATTTACACTTTTAGTCTGTCATGAAAATTTGTTGCGCAAAATTCACTGTCCGGAACTGTACTCAACTGAAAAAGTCATAAATGGTGGCACTGAATTTTTTTCTATCTCGTTGATACTTGCATTATGTAGCACCAAGCAACAAGAGTCTCGAAGTAAATGGCAGTGTGTAACTTGTAGAGTCTCTTTGTTAAGGCAAACAGAAAAACTGCTTTCAAGCATATTATTACAAAAAATAATAACTTTTGTTAGCTATCGTACGTATTATTTAGTTTGCTTTTGTTTTTATTATTTCTTGTTATTTTTCTTTGTTCATTATAATACTATTTTATTTTCTTAATTTATTTTTTAAATGCCTATTATGTCACTAAATAAGTAATAGACAATGACTACTTCAAATTAACAATGCTTTGAAATTATTAAAAATGTACGAGATTTTATGAGGGGTTCATGAAGTTAATGAGATTACCGGAGAAAGTAAAAAAATCTGAAATGTAAAATAATTGGTCATATGATGAAAAACTGTCGTTAGTGCTATTTTAATACCTATTTTTTAAATAACTTGAAAAATGATTATTTTTAAAATCCAGTAAATAGGTGTACCTGTACGGTATTTTAAATACATTAAAGTGTGTACCTGAAAGGTCACTAATGGACTTTTTCAACTCGCTGGGACACCCTGTATAGATACAGTACGATCAAAAAGTCTGTCTATCGTACGAGGTCAAAAACCTGTGCGATTTGTTTTTGCACTGTGTGTTAGAAATCTAACGCACAATTCATACTCGAAAGTTTTGTATTTTTTCATTTAACGTATTTTTTTTTGTATCCATTATAAAAAATAAATCGTTATTCAACGTATTTTTGTATCCATTATAAAAAATAAATCGTTATGAAAAAAAAAATATGTTCGTAAGAAAAAAAATATTTATGGTCGTAGGAAAAATAGTGTACAAAACTTGCAGGAAAGTGTTTAACGCACTCGCGGTATTGCCTGCACTCGGCTAACGCCTCGTGCGCAACTTTCCCGCTTGTGCGTTATTTAACACTTTCCGTGCTCGTTACTATTTGAAAACTGATATTTTCTTTTAAAAATAAAATTATTTTTGCTTCTTTGGATAGTTTGGAGAGCATGTTTTTGAGCCGAAAAAGCATTTAGTTGCTTTTCCAGACGTTTTATCAGATTTTTCAACCAAAAGCACAAAACTTCGTCAAAAATAATTTTTGTAAAACATACCAAAAAATTAATACCAGACTGCTTAGTTTCTTACTGTTTAGTAATTTATTATCAGAATGTGAAATCTTTTAATACAGGTATGTTAACTAATTAAAAAACGACATAATTTTTGCTCTTTTCAAGCGTTTTAAAACATTTTTCATTCAAAAACGCAATTCTTTTGCAAAATTTAATCAAAAATACGTCGAAAAGTCATTGAATTAAGTAAAAATAGTGTTATTAAATATTTATTTATTATTATTTATCTATTTAAACATATTTTAACACCTTTATCCACTGTTTATTCAAAAATCCAGGTTGTACATAGCGCCTTTAGCATTTTTTGGTAATTTCATTCCTAATAGAAACCAAAATATAAGTCTTTTTCAATAAAAGAATATTGCGAAAAAAAATTTTGCTGATAGTTTATTAATTTTTTGCCTTATTTTCGACGAAAATTTTGAAAATAATTACGATTCTGACTAAAAAACGTCCTAAAACAGAAAATTGTATTTTTTGTATTGCATTTTTTAGCACAATCTAAAAAAGTAAAACACCATTTTTGAGTAAATAACTTGCATTATGTAGCACCAAACAACAAAAGTCTCGAAGTAACGGGCAGTAGAGTGTCTCTTTGTTAAGGCAAACAGAAAAACTGCTTTCAAGCATATTATTTCAAAAAATAATAACTTTTGTTAGCTATCGTACGTATTATTTAATTTGCTTTTGTTTTTATTATTTCTTGTTATTTTTCTTTGTTCATTATAATACTATTTTATTTTCTTAATCTATTTTTTTAAATGCCCATTATATCACTAAATAAGTAATAGATAATGACTACTTCATATTAAAAATGCTTTGAAATTATTAAAAATGTACGAGATTTTATGAGGGGTTCATGAAGTTAATGAGATTATCGGAGAAAGTAAAAAAATCTGAAATCTAAAATAATTGGTCATAGACCGATGAAAAACTGTCGTTAGTGCTATTTTAATACCTACTTTTTAAACAACTTGAAAAATGATTATTTTTAAAATCCAGTAATACCTGTACGGTATTTTAAATACATTATAGTGTGTACCTGACTTTTTCAACTCGCTGGGACACCCTGTATAGATACAGTACGATCAAAAAGTCTGTCTATCAAGCAAGCGTAGAAATTTAAAACGTATGTCTGTGGAAGACAAAATGTCACAATGACAAATAAGAAATGTCAAAATATATTTTATGAAAATTATGACAGGAAACCGTGGTGAACGATTTTTATGAATAAACACCATTTTAGTTTGTTTTGAGACGTTTTATAGAATAATTCAATTTAATTAGCTCAATGTTTTAATTTTTATAAAATAATTTTTTGACAACTGCCATGCAACATACGTCCTCAACCAGGACGCCTACTTGATAGAAAGACTTTTTGATCGCACTGTATAACAGCCCTGTGTGTTACTAAGGTGTTATTGACAATGTAACCATAACAGCACAACACGATGAAAAAATACTAAATTTTCATTCATCATAACAGCAGGTGCAGAAGAGTAAATTTACAGGTGAAACCACAAAAGTGAGCAAAAAAGGTGTCCCTCGCCCGTCATGCCATGCGAAGTCAAGTAGCGCAGATGATAAATATTATGGTCACGTGGTCGTGTTGTGACTCGTCTACACCTCGAATGGGGCGAGCGGAAGCGCTGGAGTCCGGGGGCAAGGAAACGGAAGAGAAGTCGAAAGGAAACAGCGACTAACACCGTGACCTTGAGGCCCTTGACCAAATCGCGTCGATAAAACGTCGCCGAGGATTCGATCGCGGCGCGAAGCGGGGCCGAAGGGGCGGCCGCCATGTTACGTTATGTTGTTTGTTTACAAAACGATTGCCATTTACCTCGAATTGCCAATGGGCCGACTGGAGGATCTGTTTGGCCTGGTCGCGGGCGCACCCCGCCGCCAACACGAACTGGTTGATCATCACTTGCTCTCGCAACGCAGAATCCATTTTAAAAAAGGCAATCACCGACTAAATCGCACAAATATGCGAACACTCCACACCACAGACAGTTGTTTTCAAAACTACTCTTTCACTCACTCTCTCACTCGCGCTGCCGCGCTCTCTGTTTTCCTGCGATGGGAAATGTTGTAATCATGAATGACGTCAGTTGTACGAGTGACAGGATGGGGAAAATCGGGACGTGGAGGGGGTAAGGACAATAACAATACAAGAAATTCAATCACAGGTGGAAAAAACCAAAAAAATTACATTCACAGTAAACTTGTAAGTCAAAACTCTAATAAATACTAAATTAAAAGCAAGCTTGATATGTCATTCTCAAACGTCAAAAAATCAACATTTTCAAAACATTCGAATTGGAGTAAGGAGGGGCTTAGATTTCGACAGTGTTGCCAATCTGTCACCTGTTTTTATGCAACCCACATTTCTTTTTATGCAACTAACATTACACTAGTTCACTGCTAGTGGTTTTAAATTAAAGGGGTGAGTGGATAAAGGTGTTATGTAACGTTTTTTTTTAAACAATTTTTTTCGAAATATTCTTTTATTAAAAAAGACTTTTGAATTTTGCTAAATCCGTTATGTACAGTTACGGAATTAAAATTTCGGACAGTATTTTTCTGTCACTTCAAAAAGTTCACTGTAAACTACCTTTTCCTACGACCATATACGAAACTAGATCATAACGCACAATTACATATGCGCGAAAATTGGCAATATCGTACGAGGTCGAAAACCTGTGCAATTTAACGCATAATTGACACACGAATGTTTTGTATTTTTTCATTCAACGTATTTTTTTTATAAAAAATAAATCGTCATTCAACGTATTTTTGTATCCATTATAAAAAATAAAGTGTTATGAAAAAAAATATATTTATGGTCGTAGGAAAAATAGTGTACAAAACTTGCAGGAAAGTGTCTAACGCACTTATTTATCACTTTCCGTGCTCGTTATGTAATATACTGTTTACTGTCATCATGACTGACATTTGACAATTAAACTTTTCTGTTAACCATGGTCAGTGATGCAATTTTTTAAGTCAAAATGACATAAACATCACAAGAGCACTGAACAAGAGTAAAAAATGAGGTTATTAATGTAAAGGTTGTTTTAGAATTTACATTGTAAAAATGACAATACTGCCCGAAATTTTAATTCCGCAACTGCACAACTTGGATAGTTGAATTAACAGTGGATAAAGGTGTTAAAATATGTTTAAATACATAAATAATAAATAAATGTTTTAAATAACATTTCAACGTATTTTTGACTAAATTTTGCAATAGAATTGCGTTTTTTATTGAAAAATGTTTTAAAACGCTTGAAAAGAGCAAAAATTATGCCGTTTTTTAATTAGTCTAGTATTAATTTTTTGGTATATCTTAGCAAAAATTAAAGACTTAAAAACGAAACGCAACTAAATGTGTGAAAAAGGCAAAAATAACATCATTTTGGAATTAAATGTGTGATTTTTCGGCTTATTTTTGACGAAGTTTTATGCTTTTGGCTGAAAAATCTGCTAAAACGTCTGGAAAAGCAACTAAATGCTTTTTCGGCTCAAACATGCTTAAACTCTCCAAAGAAGCAAGAATAATTTTATTTTCGTGATAGTTTATTAATTTTTTGCCTTATTTTCAACGAAAATTTTTGATTCTGACTAAAAAACGTCCTAAAACAGAAAACTGTATTATTTTTGAACGAATTTTTTACACAATCTAAAAAAGTAAAAAGAACACAATTTTTGATTTGTGACGAAATAATTTTGTAATTTTTTTATTGAAAAACGTGCTAAAACGCCCAAAAAATCATAAAGAAGGTCATTTTCAACACGGTTTGGTGATTTTTCAATGTATTTTAGCAGAAACTTGCAAAAAAACGTGATGTAAATAAGCAAAATTCATTATTTTCCAGTTAATTTGGTGACTTTTCGGTATATTTTTGTCTAAATTTTTCGAGATTGAAAAACATGGTGTTTATATAGAAAACCTTCAAAAAGTGGATGAACTAGCTTCAAAATTACACTAATAAACAAGAAAAAAAATTTTTTAAATGAGAAGTTAATTTTCGGGATAGAAAAGTACGGAAGTTACCTGTACATAAGAAGTTTGGATGAATGCACTCCATTTCAAAAAGTCATTATTTTAAAAGGCAATGCTTCTAAAAACATGGGTGGTGAAACTTTAGAGAGTAATTGGTAAAAATAGAAGTTTATCAAAAGAAAAACTTTCAAATTTACGCGACGAGGATGATGATGAGTACAAGTGGTTTTATGAAAACATTTGTCACGTAGATGATAGTAGCATTAGTAGCCCAAAAAGATGAAAAACTAATTGATAATAATTAATATGAGACTTTTTTATATTGTGTCGTTAAAATTTCATTTATATTTGTTTTGTTAAATTCGAAATATTTTTATAAAGCAATAGTTATCACAAAGTTTATATTAGAAAATAAAGCTTGTTCTTTGGTACATAACACTTTTATCAATTCTTTTATAATATAAACTAATGCATTATAGTGGATGAAGGGGTCAAATACACTTGATCGTTAAAAAATCTATAAAAAACATAATTACGAAGTTTTCTTATAACAAGGAAACAATATTCACATAGGCCTTTATACATCATATGATTTGTTTACCAAAAACAAATTGGAAAGAAGTACCAGCAAATTATATTAAAATGCTTATAACTCCAAACATTTGCACATGACACCTTTATCCACTCACCCCTTCAATTATCCTTTTCTTTTTTTGTATTTTTACTATTAAATTATACTAACAAATTTCAAGTAAAAATTATTATTATTATTAAGACAGCAATACATAATAGTGTTTTTGTTCAAATTTTTGTGCTCTAATTATTTGTTCTTGATTCTATGAAAATAACAAGAGATTACAGAATATTAAAACATTATTAGTTAAACTCTTAATTAATAATAAACAAAGATTTGGAAAACCGCAGATAATTTTCCTCAGTTGCAAAAATATGCTTAGCATTATTTTATAATTCCTTGTATTTTTGAAATAAAAAGGTATTATAACAAAATTGTTATTTCCTTTCCAAAAAAGGATCAATTTTAAAAGTGAGCGGAACAAACTCCAAGTAAGATTTCCTTGCATTAAATTCCCCTTAAACTTTAGTAATGACTTACCTACACCTTTCATTATGCCTTGCCTTTTTATGGTAATCATATAAACCTACATCTGAAATAAGTAAAAAAATATGTCAATTAGTCCAGTTTTAGCTTCCAGATCCTTTATTTACAATTATTACAGGATCTGGAAGCCAAAAACTGGACAAATTGGCATATAATTTAGATTTACAAATTAACCTTCATTAAAAAAATAGGTTTTTTTTTCTGATCTTGTTACAATAAATTCAATTGTGTAATATTGTCAATAACCAGGGCAGGTTAAAAAATAAATAAAAATCAAAACTGTAAATATGTATTTTACTTAAACTATAAATATCAAAATATTTAGAAATAATCCAGAAGATTATGATTCAAGTTCTACTTTATACACACGTTTGTTTGCCAATATTTTGCACAAATTTCTTATAACTTAAAAAAAAAGAGTAAAATTGTCATGAAACGTACATCTTCTCAACCAACTAGCAAGTCATAAATTTCAACAAAAAAATGTGTTGTGTAAAATCGTTACTATAATACTTTTATTCGAGAATAGTCTTTAAATTCACTGTAGGCACCCGTTAATACTACCATGAAAAATCCACATTGAACCACCTAAACAAACAAATAAAAGAAGGTTGTTTTTATTACATTAATATTATACATGCTATTAAAATCACAATTCAATTTACTGTGAATTAAATTACTACCATATAATAATCATAACGCTATACGTCAGTCATTTAATAACCTACTCTAGAAAAAAGCACCTAATTTGAAATCATTCATGAAAAACATCAATGACACAATTCTACAAACAGTGCCAATTCAACATCCACACAAAATCGTGTGTTAAGAAAACCACTGGTTATGCAAACATTCCTTATAAAGGAATTGTTATGAATCGATCAATTAGTTCACTTTTGACCTCTTTTTCGCGATAGCATCCTCAACTGCTTTCAACTGTTTTAATAATTCCTCTCTTCGAGACGTCGCCTTCTTCGACTTGGGATCCAACGGCGGAGGCGAATTCGCCGGACGTTTCTTCCCTTGTAACGCTTCCGTTTTACGCGCAATGTCCGAAATTTCCGGTTTACGTGCACCTACCGGATTTTTCAAATTCAATTTAATTTGCCGTTTCTCAGACGAACTTCCTTTTAAAGCATCCATGGCTTTGGCTATCGAAATATCAACACCTGCAATTAATCACAATTAAAAACATCACAAAAAAATTTTCAACACACCACTCGTCCTTCGCGGCGAACTTTCCTCCCTACTGGAAGAACTACTCGATCCTGAAGAATCCGAATCACTCGAACTCGATCCAGAACTATCCGATGACGACTTCGACGATCTTCGACGCCCTTTCACCCTTGCTAGAGCCGCAGCTATCGCCATTTTACTTCGGGTGCGACCGAACTGATCCTCTTTGAGCGGTGCAGGAGGATTTGTTGCACTCACTCTCATCATTCCTGAAAAACGCATTTGAATTAAATAAAATTTCATTAAAGTTTAATTTTCTACCAGGCGAGGGCGCTCGTTTTCGTGGTGCTGGCGGGTTCATTAGAGCCGCTCTCTCATTGGCTGCTTTGCGTTCCGAAACAATGACAGATGGCGATACATGTCTACTACGATGCGACCGACTTGATCTCTTGTGTGACCTTGATCTCGACCGGAATGAACTGCGACTAGATTCCGATGAACTTCTAGAAGAACTGTAAAAATTTCCTTGATACATAGCCCAGTCAAATTAGACAAATCGTTGGAAAAAAAATCCTAGAGAGTTGGATTTTTTTAAAACGCTTTCTTTACACTTGGGTATACATACCGGGTGTCCCAGGCAGGCTTGGATATAGGAGATTAACATGGGAAATTAGTTTTTATTTTTTTCCGGCTGCAGGAGTAACAAAAATTCAAATCTGTTTAATGGAGCTTGTAGTGCTCGAAAAGGACAATCTTTTCGACATTTTTGTCGATTCTCCAATTAACTCCATTTCGGCGTAAACGGCTTTTGAAAAATTGAAATTTTAATTTGCCGGGTTAGCGTTACTAAGAAACGAACTATCAAGTCAAATTGTGACAAAATCTCCTTTGGCAACAATGACTTGATAGTTCGTTTCTTAGTAACGCTAACCCGGCAAATTCAAATTTCAATTATTCGACGGTCGTTTTCGCCCATATGGAGTTAATTAGAGAATCGATAAAAATATCGATAAGATAGCCCTCTTCAAGCACTACAAACTCCATCAGTCAGATTTTGATTTCTGTTACTCCTGCAGCCAGAAAAAAATAAAAACTAATTTTCCATGTTAACTTCCTATATCCAAGCCTGCCTGGGACACTCGGTATATCAAAAGTCCCCGAAGGTGGGGGGGCGAGCTCGAGGAGGGGGATGGGGTTAAAAGTGTCTTTTTTTGTTTTTTTGCTTATATCTCGGAAATTATCACTCCTAACGGTTTTTGCCTGCTTATCAAAATTAAACCTACAAAATTTCCTACAAAAATGGTCCTTTGCATATTTGTTGTAGGACTAACCGTAAGCGAGTTATAGGGCAGAAAATAAAACATCATTTAAAAAAATGTGCTTTATCTGCATTTCAAACAGAATTAGTCTTGTAATTAAAAAAAAAAAAACTGACAATAAATTGAATTTACTGGATCCAATACTTCATTAAAAGAAGGGAGTCACGAGGGTCTATAAATACAAACTCATCGTTTATGTAATTTTTGAAGAATTTTCTGTAGAAGTCTATTTCTGCATCAAAATTTCCTACAAAAATGGTCCTATTCATTTTTGTCGTAGGACTAACCGTAGGCTTCAAAAGTTTGGAGTCTACATAAAATTGCATTAAAAATACTTTGAAATATTTAAACGGAGATATAAATAAAAATTTTGGATGAAAGAGAGAATCAATCTGTAAAGGGGTTAAATGGGGTGTAAATGTTTAAACAAAGATATAAACATAACATTCTTTAGAGGTGTAAAGGGGCACTAAAATCAGATTTTTCGAAAATTAGTCTTTAAGGGAATAAAACGGTGTACACATTTAAAGGGATATAAAGACCTTAAATTTAGAAAACATGATCCTTAGAGAGTGTAGAAGTGCAGATACAGCATATGAGGACGACTCGGAAGACTTTACAGACTCTCTAATGAAGTGTTGCACCAAATAAATTCAATTAGTTTTCAGTTTTTTCAAATCACAAGATTACTTCTGTTTTAAATGCGGATAAAGCACATTTTTTTAAATGATGTTTTTTGTCAGCCCTATAACTCGCTTACAGTTAGTCCTACAACAAAAATGCAAAGGACCATTTTTGTAGGAAATTTTGTAGGCTTTAATTTTGATAAGCAGGCAAAAACCGTTAGGAGTAATAGTTGTTTCCGAGATATAAGCAAAAAAACAAAAAAGACACCTTTAGCCCCCTCCCCCTCCACGAGCTCGCCCCCCACCTTCGGGGACTTTTGATATACAGGCTGTATTATGAAAAACGCCCAAGCCACAACTCCATTATTTTTAAAGTTATGACAATACTTCTTAGAAGAAATTTTTTGTCATCTATCGTTTGGGATAGATGCTAAATTATTGCTGTTTTCTGTTTCACCGGAAATGACATCAGCGTTATTTTTTTAATGGAACACCCTGTATGTTTTACCACTTTTGGATTCTTTGTTTAATTGTGTTTTAACAAGTTTTAGTACCATGTGCCTAAAACCAACCGTTTGTGAGATATGAGTCAATTAAAAATTTATTAAAGTAGGCAGTGGAAAACAATAATATTAAGTAATGTTGACAAATATTATTACTTTGCATTTTCTCTTATTATTTTTATGCTTTTTGGTGTTCTGGTGATAATGTGTTAACAGACATGATTCGAGAATATTTTGAAAGCAATAAAAATAGTTGGAGACCACAACGCCTTTACACTGGGCGGTTTCCAATAAGAGAAGTTCCAATTCGTCAACCTGAAGAAAATTTAAAGATGTTTGCGGTTTTTAGAAAACCCAAATTAGAACAGTTGCGTGCGATAAGCCAACGTTACTTGCATTTTCTTCAATACCTATCTAATTCTGTATCTCCCCAAACATCCTCAAATTTTCTTTAAATCGCTTAAATTTTCGACGATTTGGAACGTGTCTCATCAGAAATCACCCAGTGTAAAAGCGTAGTGCTCTCCCACAATTTTTATTTTATTCAAAATATGTCTGTTAACACATTATCATCCATGATTAACATTAAAAAGTATAAAAACAGTAAGAGAAAATGCAAAGGAATAATATTTGTCAACATTACTTGATATTATTGTTTTCCACTGCCTACTTTAATAAATACATTATTTGGTGAATATCTCACGAGCGGTTAGTTTTAGGCATATGGTACTAAAACTTGTTAAAAGACAATTAAACAAAGAATCCAAAAGTGGTAAAACATACAGGATTTTCATAATACAGCCTGTATATCTACCCAAGAATAAAGAAAGCGTTTAAAAAAATTACAACTCTAGGATTCTTTTCCACCGATCGCCCTATTTTTATCTAATTTGACTGGGCTAACAATAAATTCACGATTAAAAATTTTATACCTGCTGGAAGAATAACTTGAACCGGAACTGTACGAACGTTTTCTTCCTGCAGTTTTACGACCTGCTGGTGATTTTGACCTCATCCAAGGATCCGACCATTCGTCTCCTCGCACAGGTCGTTCTTCAGCTGCTCTTTGAACGATCACTTCACGTTTAGGTTTGCGAGTTTTTGTAGTTGCTGGAATTGGCTCATCTTCGTATTTATTATTGTAAAAATCGGGCATTCTATGTGATGGAAGTTCTCGGTATGTTCTGACTCGTTCTCGTGGCGGTGGTGGTACGTAGTCAGGTTCGTATATGACTTGTCTTCGGCCGTAATATTCTTCAGTGGGTGGTGGCCGAACCACTGGTGGATACTCAACAGGGACGTGTCTTACATATCTATACATTAAGTTTAGTAAATCTTTGTTTCAAAAATAATTAAGTACCTTGGTTCCGGTGATGCAACACGTCCGTAATAACCATTCTCTTTATCAAATTCTTCTTGTGCTAGACTCAAATTCATTTTCTTTTCTTCAAAATCGATGTCTTGTTCTTTACGTTTTATTGATTTTCGGAGCATTTCTTTGGCTGTGCGAAGTCCACGTTCCCATGCTGATTCAACGGGTGCTGGTTCAGGTCTACCGTAGGTTCTTTCTTCTCTACCGTATTCGCCAGGAACGACAGGCCGGATCAGTTCAAACATTGTATAATTTCCTTAAAATAAATACAAAATATATAGTGATTTTTAAAAAACGACAGGTGCTGTAATTAATTAATTTATGGTTTGATTTCAAAAATTAAAAAAATTAATTAATATAAGCTGACAATTTTAGGATTTTCCTAAATATCATAGTATATTTTGGGCTTTCTAATTTTAAATTAAAACACATATTTTTTCTTTATAATTTAGAATGTATTAGTTGCAGTCAACATTTACGCTTTGTTCAGTTTCGACGCAGAATCGCAAAAAGCACGCTGAAAAATTCGAAATTCCGAGTTAAGCCAAAAACTGAGTTTCTTAATATCCTAATGAATAAATTAATTCAACTCAGGTCAAGAAATAATATAAATAAAAGAAAAAAAATAATATAAAGACTTTCCCGTATCATAAATGTTTTGTCTTTTTTTATAAATCATAAACTAGCAAAAAAATCAAATTTTTGAAAATCCTTAGACAAACATAAACGACTTAAAATAGTATCTTGAATTTTTGAGATAATTTTGTATAGTCTTCACATTAGGGCTTTATTTGAGTAACATAAAAAAATGCGTCGATCTCACAGAAATTTGACAGCAAGAGTAAACAAATAGGGGATTTTTAATTGTTTTTAATTTTAATTTTATTTAAATGTACATAATTTGATATGTAATGTTAAAGTTTGTAAAGTATTTTAATGTGAAATTTTCTGGACGTAGGGCTGATGAAGGCCAAATTGGCCGAAACCGGTACCCGATAATAAACAATTTGAAATTAGGAAGAAATTTTATTTTTGGACCATAGATTACCTAATGAAATAGCCCCAATTAGAGGTAACTACATAACTTAATAAAAAAATATGTAAAATGCTCTTAAATACTCTGTTTTTTGTCATTTTTTTGACGTTTTTAATGAAATTTTAAATTTCAGTCTTCGTAGATACATCATTTCTTTCTGCCAATAAGTGTGTTTATTAATTTACATTTATTTTTAAGTTTTGTTGAAAAAAATAAATAAAAACAAAAATATCTAAACCGATAAATTTTCTACTAAAGTTGGGGAAATTTTTTTGTAATATTTTCTATGGTATGTCTTCAAAAATGTGTTGTAGCGCTCTTTAGAAAATGTTTCAGCATCAGGTGTTGTTTGTTTCCACTTAAATTAAAGAAATTAAAAATTAGTTTCCATCAACGTATTTTTCAATAACTAATTTATGAACTGCTCTATTTCATAAAATTGAAGGTTGGGGTCTACGAGTATTAAGTTTATTGAACGGTCATAACAAATTTTTAATTTTCTGAGTGCACCAGCACCAGTGTCAAAATAAAGACTTTTTTACTATTTTATGCAATATGCATATGCAATATGTTTCACTTTTACTAGAAATTATTTTTTTTTAATTATCAAAGTTAAAAAAAAATAGTTGCATAGACAATGCCATTACTGTAATGTTAAAAAAACATCAAATGAAAGAAAATATTGCCAATATTTTTTTAAATTTGTAAAGAATGACAATAATTACCTATAACAAACCAGAAAAAACATCTAATTTAGTGTGATTATTTTTTTTATTATTTATTTATTTTGTTTACTTTTACCAAGATTATTGTTAACGACAATTTGTTATTGACACCATGCAACTAGATTTTATTAATTTTTATAATTTTTTTCTCCAAATTCCATTTTTTTAAATTATTTTTAGGTAAAGTAAAACATATTGCAAATGTCTGTACCAAGAAAAACAATACCTTCCAAATTATGAAAAAAATATGTCTCTATTTAAAATTAAAAAGTTGAATATAGCCCAAAATACAGGGTGTGTCAGAACTTGTGACACAGAAAAAAAAATTCAAGTAAGATAAGATATCAGAAATATGGAAAAAATGTTTAAAAAACTTTGACATTTATTTTTTGACATTTGAGATTTTTTTATGTCTGTGATACTGATGATCTTGTATATGTATTTTTATAATTATTTAGTAAACATACAAAAATTTTGGTAATAAAAGCCGCAAATAACATTAAACAGAGTTACAGTTTAGGATACTTCCTTGTTTCCTCTTCTAGTAGCAAAAAAACTTGGAAATTTAGTTTTTTAACAGACATAATGCAAAATTTAAACTTTCATAACTTCGAAATTTTTCTAGATAGAATTTTTTAAACATTGTTTCCATGTTCCTGGTATCTTAAATTACATGGTATTTTTCTCAGGGGCGTGAGTTCTAGCGCACCCTGTATAATGACATTTACAAAAATTCTAAAACTGTCAGCTTATATTTACTATATTAAAAGCCATTTAATTTAGTTTTTTAATTTTTAAAGTCGGACCAAAAAAATTAAATTTCTACAGTCCTGCCGTTTTTTTTAAATCACAATGTATGTTACATATACTTATTTTTTAGGTCAGTTTTGTGAATAATTTAAATTTTTCAACATCTGTACATGCAAATTTAGCACCTTATGTTCTCAAAAACCTCAATTTAAACCATTTATTATTCTGAAAAAACTGTATACCTTTATCAGTAACCCCTGGATGCAAAAATCGACAACTCGCCCCCCACGTGCACTGCCCCCTTGAGAAAAATCTACACACAGGTCTAGGTTCTGTCTCTTCAGGTCTGACTTCGTCCTCATCTGTAACTTCACCCTCTTCAAGTTCCTCTTTTTCTTTCTCTCTCTGTTCCGCCATCTCGCCATCTTCAGCTAATGAACCTGAATCTTTTTCATCCTTGTCCTTCTTTTCTTCCATTTCGCATTCTCCATCTTCTGCTTCAAAATCTAACTGTTCTTCACCGTCTTCAGGTCGGGTTTTTTCCGAAATAATTTCAACATCTTCCTTTTTCGTTTCACCATTCTGTTTTCTTTCGTCGCGTTCGTCGTCGGAATGGCCTCCTATAGATTCATCTAAATCGGAAACATCTGACAAGTCTTCATGGTTGATATTGATTTCCTGTCTGACATTTTTCGGTTCTTCCTTTTTGTGTTCTGGTTCCTTTTCATGGTCTGATTCCATATCACCTATCAAATTACGCAAGTATTTCAAATTGTGTAACAAAAAATAAAATATTTACCGTCGGAAATTTCCTCTGGTAATGTATCAACATTTTTCGTGATATTTTTATTCTTTCGACTGGACGAATCTACACTCGCTACACTTGAATCAGACGTGTTTCCGTCCTCATTGTCTGACCTCTTCGCACGTGAGGACCCCGATCTGTCGGAAATATTAGTCACCCTATCTGGCGATATTGAATGTTTTGAGCTACGACTTTCTGAACGTTTGTCTCCGTTATTTGAAATGGGGCTTTTGAGCCCGGCTGGTGAGCTGGACCGGGACGAGTTAGCGGGTGAGGGGGACCTAGGACCGTCGCCATTGGGCGGGGACCTAGGGGGGTTTTCGGGTGAATTAGGCGAGCCACTACGTGACGAGGCCGGCGATTTGGGGCCACTCTGGCTGTCTTCAGGCGACGTGGATCTGCTTAACGATTCAGGCCCACTTTGTGGCGACGCAGACCTGCTTATGACCGAAGCCGCCTGTGAATTTCGACTTCTGGATCTAGAACTGGCGGGACTGTGGGGCCCTTTTCTCTCACTTTCGTTGTCAGAAGACGCATCACGCGAGTCTTCCGAGTCCATTTTATTAGTGATTTAGGCTAAGAGAGTAAAATATCGGTTAGAATTCTTGTGGAGGGAGTTGATGGGTACAACAAAAGATCAATTGCTAAACACTTCTGATTTAATCTCTTTGAGACCGATGTTATTTTAGTCTTACCTTCGGTCTGCCGCCAACTCCATTGTTACCATTAAAACACTTTTTGATTATATCTCGCTTCTTCATGTTTAACATTTTTTCCAAACAACTAACTTACTTGACTTTTAACTTCAAAATTCACAACACAAACTACTGTTGAGTCTTTCGCGTACTTGTACGAGCTTTACGGTGGCTTTTCGGTTATCGACTTAACTGTATTTATACTTATAACGCAAACACAAGTCTTAGGTAGAAGGAACTGTTTAATGAGCACTTGAGTTGCACAAACTTGGTATCTTACCTTGGTTTTTGTTCGGCAGTTCCTGCAGCAGAACGCAATGGCCTTTCTCACACAAAATTACTTTTAATTCGTTTTTAACAACATCGACTTGAGACACCTCTCCCTGCCACTTTTTGCTTCAGGAAATGGCGTCCCCCAAGACTTCAATAATCTAGGGATTTTGCGTTTAGAACCAAACACAAAACAAAACTTCCCCAAATAATTCAAAAAAAACTTTTTTATTGCAAAAAAATAACATTACAACTTATTTCATCAATCTATATACGCCAAGTTACTTCCACTTCATCGGTTCTATACCTCTGGGTGATAAAACATTCCCCCCGCAAGACTTCAATAATCTAGGGACTTTGCGTTTAAAACCAAACACAAAACTAAACTTCCCCAAATAATTCAAAGAAACTTGTTTTATTGCAAAAAAATTAATAATACAACTTATTTCATCAATCTATACGCCAAGTTACTTCCACTTCATCGGTTCTATACCTCTGAGTGATAAAACACTCCTCCCACCTCATTCTAGTACCTGACCTGAACATTTCAGATCCAGCTTGTGCAATCATCACCCCATTATCAATGCAAAATCGTTCATCGGTCGCAAATAGTTTAGCCCCTCTTTCGTCACACATTTGTTTCATCATTTCTTGTAATCTCTCATTACAACCTACGCCCCCAACGATAAGAACCTCCTGTGAATTACAGTGGGCTAAAGCACGTTCAGTTATTTCAACCAACATGGGAAATAACGTCTCTTGTAGAGAAAAACATAAATCTTCAGGGGAATACCCTGATTGGAGAAATTTATCGGCTCTTTCTTCCATAAATGTTAAAATCCCGGAAAAACTAACATCCATGCCTTTCACGCAGTATGGCAACTCTATGAATTTACTCCCCTTTTTTGCCATTTGTTCAATGTTGTAGCCTGGACTGGGGTCATTCGGGAGTTTCAAAACTCGTGCAAATCGATCTAAACAGTTCCCCACAGCAATGTCAATAGTTTCACCAAAAATTCGGTACTTATGTCTTGAGTAAGCTACTACTTGAGTGTTGCCCCCGCTAACATAGAGAACAATGGGATTTGTTGCTTTTGTAATCAATTTACCCATCTCAATATCTAATTAAAGTTAAGTAAATAAGTAAAATGTGAGATTTTAAATAAGAAAAAAGGATACGGCCGATGCAATGATTAACCCCCAACAACGGTTTATTCCACAACTGGGCCAAAGTTCGTGCTACAACTGCAACGGTTGCTAAAGGGGCCCCCATACCAGGCCCCTTGGTGTAACAAATAACATCAATTTCGGCCGGTTTAACACCTGACTGATCAAGTGCATCTTTGAGGACACTTATCACGTTTTTTCGGTGGTGTTCGGCTGTTTCTTTCGGTAAGAAGCCTTCGCCCGGTGGGGTTATGTACGTTTTTCTGCAATTTGATAACACTCGTCCGCTTTTTATAACCCCAATGCCTAGTTTATTGGCACTGCCTTCTAAACCCAATGCAACAACCATTTTCTAGCTGCAATAAAATGCAAAATTGGAATTAAATTAATTCAAAAAAACCCTAAACATAACCTCAACTCTGGTCGAATTCTAACCTCAAAAAACAAAACGAAGAATAATTCTAGGCATTTCATTTTTTTAGGCTCTTATATGAATGATGGGGTAATAATAACGTGCCTGTGGCCTCTCAATAATGCAAAATTGTGATTCAATTCTAATTTAAAAGTTGCCTAAACATAACCTCAATTCCATAACATGTCTGCAGCCTCTGAAGTGAATCTTAAACAAACTTTGCGCAAGTTAGAATTCCCTCTTTGTGCTAAAGAAGCCCTAAATAAAATAGGTGAGTGAATTTGATTTGTTTTTGAACCAACTGGTATAAATGATAATTCTAGGTGAGCTAATATGCGGCCGCATCACCAGTATCAAAAATATGGATTTAGCCCTCAATCTGATGTCCGAATTTATTTTCTACGAGGTAGATCGGCGGGGGAACAAGCGCACCTCTCCACTTTCTGCCCTAATGGAGCTGCATTTACTCGAAATATTATTTGAACATTTTAATAGCCTTTCAAATGAAGCGGCCCGAAACACAGTTTTCTTGTCCCTGTTTAGTGGCACCACTGCGATGCAAAGATCGGGGATTTTAAGCAAATTAGTGTCTTTAGCAATCGGAATTCCCTCACCAGCAATTCTAACTTCTACAAGTACGTGGATGCAGCAGTTGGGGTGCACTTCTGTGAACAGTTGTAAACTGGCAGAAGCTATAGTTTATGACTATTTCCACCTCGTACCTGCCGCTTCTGAACGAATGAAAACTTTACCAGACGTCGCCCCACAATTTACCGCTAATTTCCTGACTGCAGTTGCTGAGAATTACTACAATTCGAAAAATAAAGTTCAAACGTATCCTTCGGAAGGTTTGCTTCAAACGATAACGTTTTGGGTTTGTGTGAAGAATTTTCTGAAGTGAAGACTAATTAGGCGTTTTAGATTTCGCAAAATGCGTTTTTGTGCATAGCTGCGCAACAGAAACAAGCCGCACTGCCGCCGGGGGCTATCGCAATGGAGGCCACAACAGCGATTGCAGGATTGATCAGATGGTGCACTTTGGCGCCTCTACATGACCAAGACTCAGACTTGTATTGTCACTTACACTTAGCGCTCCTCAACAGTATCCTTGAAATACCACAAACACATCCCCCTAAGGCAATTAGTGCCCAACATTTGGCCCTGGCGTTGAGACACATTTTGTTGGCCAGTAACAAACAACAACCGAATTTACAAATCGCATTAGACAGATTTGCGCAAGCTGTGCAAGTTGCACTCTCCACAAAATGTGTCTATGGAAAAATAGATGACCTCATAAACCAACTACAACAACTTCCTTTTAATAAACTCATGAGTATTATCATAAACACACACAAAGAGTCTAAATAAATTTTTATTCCACGATTAAAACGGCTTAAAATTTCGCATTTTCTTCATCAAATTCACCTTTTCCTTTGATTCTTGGAAACTCTTCCTTAGCGCGATTATGTTGTTCATTTTCTGTTCCTTCAACTGGAAGGTGTAGAAATTCTTCAGTTCTTTCTTCTTAGACTTGATTTTGTTTTTCTTTATTAGTTTATTTTCCACACTTTCCTTTCTAGACAAACCCGGATTTCGCCCTTTTTTAGTCACTACAGTCCACCCTTCATCATCTACTTCTTGCTTCTCACTCGACTTCTTCTCCTCTTCTTCCTTTTCATGTTGTTTAATGTAATTGTTCACTTCTTCGTTCAGTTTTTCATGATTGTAAACCGTTGAATTATATTCGTGAATCCATTTACTTACTCCTAATAAAACGTTTCTTGAATTTAACAAAGTCAAACGCTCCAATTTTAATGCTTTTAAGAGACTTTCACGTTTTGTAAACACCACATAGGCTATTTTAAATCCGCACAATTCATTAGTCTCATTTACACTTGTTTGAAGCATAACTGATTGTACTTTTCCAGCCGGAGAAAATACGTCTTTCATGTGCTCTTCCGTGAGATAGGGGGGCACATTGAGAACAAAAAGGGTTTTCCCGGGGGGCTTCTTCTCCTCAAAATTCCTAACAGAGTGTTCTTTGAGAAACATGTCATGATGATCTGTGCTATCACTTGAGAAATAAAAAGGAATAACTGAAAGAAAAAACATAAGACATTGTTATTATTTATAAAAAAATACCTGTGAAGCCCTGGACACTTTGAGTTGTCATTTTGCACGTGTTGACATGACTTTTTGAGGTTATGTTTGTTTATGCTTATCTGATGAGTCAAAATTTAGATTTATTCCTATCATATTTTAAAACTAGTGGCACTCGTTGTTATCAATGTGCGAGAGTATATAAATTATGAGCAAAACAAAAATTGTCTTATTTGGGATTTTGGGAGTTAGAGGTCATAGAAACCAAGAAGGATATCGATGGAAGGGATGCGCAGAGACGAAAACTGGTTGCGGACGAATCCATTCGTAAATATTGGGGAGTTCTGAAATCAGCTGAGAGCAGTGGTGTGTGTTCGCACTTATTTATTTGAACAAAACAAATAATCCATATACTGTAATGAAAATATTACAAAATTACATTTTTATTTTATAAATTGCAATATTCAGTAACCATTTGAGAAAGTTATTAGAAATTGTTGAAATTGTAGAAATTTAATTTTGGCGTCGATGTTCCGACAGCAATACGTATTTTAATATAAGTTCAATAAATTATTTTGATTTTTTGTCATTTTTTCTCTAGCTGTCAGGATAGAAATTACAAAAACCGAGAGTGAGGTTAGGTGCCTAAGGCCTGTTTTACATTTTTATGTCAGTCGAATTATAAATAGTCCAAGATTGAGTGTCCGCCAGTGTATTAAAATTCTTACATCTTATTGACTAGGTATGAAAACAAAACATCACTAAAAAAACTGAAAAAAACAAATGGGCGTACTTTTTTTTTCTCTAAAAATTTTGAAGACAAGGATTGTTAGGTATATCATTTTTGAAAATTCTTTTCATGCGTTAACAATTTAATAATTTGTTCATCATTATTCATCTTATGTATGAGTACCCACTTATTATATTTTTTTAAAGAATAACAGTGGTTTTGAAATATTATTTCATACGACGCCTATAAACAATATTTTTTTAATAGTAAACATTTGTTTAGTGTCAAAACTCAGTCATTTTTGACAACGTCAGGTCGCCACCAGATTTGGAACAAGCTCTACTTATTAACAGGGGCATCTTATAAATGTGGCTATAAATTTGGTTAGGTTGGTTTCTAGTGACAAACAAAAGATATCGTAACTAGTGTCAAAATTTAGGTTAAGTCACCTGTCAGCTTATATATAAAATTAAATTGGTAGTTGACAGCAGGTTGACAGAAAACGTCAACCATCTACAACAAAGGGTAACCAACCCTAAGCATTCAAAATTACTTCTGAAAATTGTAGTTACCAACAACTTAAAAAAACGTAATTTTCCTAAAAGTTCAAATCCTAGGTGGTAATTTCTTGTTAACAAATCTGTACAAATATTGTTTTCTAATGTTTATATTTTTAATAAACAAATCTATTCGTTACTTTTTGTTCGTCTTTTATTTATACAGAAATTAATATCACCGTATATTTGAAATAATCGTGGAGCATCCTATGAATTTTTTATATTTAATATTTCAGTCAATGAATATACAAAAAAAATGCAACTCTACAATTCCCTTTTTATCACAGAATGGTTCTGTGTTACGCCACTGCTCCAGTTTCGAGAATCGATATCCTTCTTGGTTTCTATGAGGTCTATGTGTAGTGGGAAACGTCAATTGTGGTGGTGCCATCTGTTCCAAATTGGATGAGTCATTTGTTAAATTGAAAACAAATGGATTTTGATAGTTGAAAAATAATGCCAAATAATTTTCGAAATGAGAAATTATTCCGTTCAAAAATGAGAGAAAAGGGTCAGAGTTGCAAGCCGTCGCGTTCGTAAGAGAGATTGATGGCTGGTATTAGTTGGTTCGTATAATTAATTATCACCAATTGAGAGTCAATTGAGATTAAATTTTTCGTTTAGGTACCAATCAAATGGAAAATGCTCCACCCAAGAGCACGGAATGAGCTCCGACCAAATCCCCCTGTACTCTTTAGGAGATGTCCAACTGCGGTTCCTCTGCCCTGAGGATCTAGACGAGGTGCGAGCCCTGTGCCAGGACTGGTTCCCCATCGAGTACCCCTTCTACTGGTACGAGGAGATCACGTCGAGCACCAGGTACCTATAACTGATTTTTTACCACAGGGATTGACAAAAACTTTGTAATTCAAGCAGGTTCTATTCTCTCGCAGCAGTGTACAACCAGGCCATAATCGGGTTAATTGTGGCCGAAATCAAACCGTACGCTAGTCTCAATGAGGAGGACTCGGGGATCCTTGCAAAAAAATTCGCCGAGCGCTCGGACATCGCCTATATTTTGTCCTTGGGGGTCCTCAAACAGTACCGCAGAAACGGGATTGCCTCTCTATTATTAGATTCCCTCATTACACACCTGACCACTAGCGAAAGGAGGAAAGTCAAGGCTGTCTTTTTGCATGTGCTTACAACGAATTCCGCTGCCATTAAATTTTATGAACATAGAAAGTCAGTTTAGGGACAAGTTGCAGATAATTGTCTCATTTTCGGTCATTTGCAGATTTAGACTTCACAGTTTTTTGCCTTATTATTATTCGATTAAAGGTCGGTGCAAAGATGGGTTCATGTATGTGCTCTACATCAATGGGGGCCATCCGCCGTGGACAATCTAATATCCTTTTAATGAAAAATTTATGTATTTATTTCACACTATTTTGAATATATTTCCTTAACTTTTCGTACTGATTATGTTAAATTCATGTGTGGGAAGGTGTTGAGCGGCGGGGGATTTTTTCCATGGATTTTACTCAACGTAAATCGAGCCATTCAATGGATTTGGAACTCCAAATCCAACACCCAACATGAAGAAAATTAACTATTTAATCTAGTCCAACAAACCAGTTCCCCACGTCTGGAACTACGTTTGTTACGTTTTGTATATATTAGGGCGATTTAGTCAGTCATCACTCAGAAATTACTGTTATTTCAGGTACCTGTTGTAAACATTTTTAAATTTAATATATTCATTACTTGAGTTCACTCATCATTAAATTTGATTCTTTGACAATTATTCTTCATTGTTATAGTTCAATACGTAAGTTGTTGTTTAATTATATTTATGAATAGTTTTATCTTTTGTTATGTGCTATATTTTGTCACCAGTATTATTCTGCTAAATACTGTAAACAATGAAAGATTATTAAATACGTATTTTGTAAAACGCAACGTGATTTTACCGTTACATTAAAAATTTATTGTCAATAAAATATTACATGAAAGGAACTTGACGTTAAAAAATACTAGTTGAAGTTAAGGTAAGAACAAATATTTACTTTGTTAACAAGTAAACTCATCTGCAAACTAATTATTATGCTTGTATTATACAGGTGCGCCAAAACTCGCGTCCCAGAGAAAAATTTCAAGTAAGATAAGATACCAGAAACATGGAAAAAATGTTTAAAAAATTTTATCTATATAAATTTCGAAGTTAGGAGAGTTTAAATCTTGCACTTTGACGCAAAAGACCTTTTTTATAAAAAACTATGAAATTTAGAATTTTTTTGCTAAAAGTGGTAAGAAACTACAGTCGAAATCGTTATAGAGTACTTTTTACTCTAACCCTCCCTAATTTAGGAACTCGTTTAAGTGTGTAAAGGTTGTTATCTGTACCAAATTTTGTAATTTTATCTAAAATGGTTTTGAAAATATTGGTAAAAACCCATTAAAAGACCCCTTTGAAGGGGTGTAGCTACCTTGCATAGCATTTTTCGATACATGTTCATAGGAAACTTTTGCCTTAAAATTGAATATTCTGTTTAAATTTGTAACAATAAAAATGAAACACCCTGAATATTTTCCTACGACCCTAATAGAAAGTAAGTTTTTCTACTCTAATTTCAAAAAGGAAAGTGACCCAAGAAAGTAAAATTTTTACCTTGATAATCATAAGGAAAATTATACAGGTGCGCTGAAAATTTTGACATTTGATATTTTTTTATATTTATTATGATTTTGTATATGCTTTTTTACAATTATTTAATAAAGGTACAAAAATTTTGCCCCTAAAAGCCACAAATAACATTGAACAGAGTTACAATTTAGGATACATCTTCCTCATTTCCTTTTCTGTAGCAAAAAACTTGGAAAATTATTTTTCCAACAAAAGTAAATAGAGTCAAAGTGCAATATTTAAACTCTCATAACTTCGAAATTTTTATAGATAAAATTTTTTTAACATTTTTTCCACGTTCCTGGTATCCTACTTTGTATGGCATTTTTCTCTGGGGCGCGAGTTCTGGCGCACCCGGTATACAAGTAGTGTTGATTCGAATTATCTGTCATTTAAAACTGAGTCAAGTTGCAACGAAGTGATTCTATCGATGGTTTCCTGTAGTTCAGGCGATTCGCGACCGCTTGTGGAGCCTCGAGGGGTATTTGAAGGTGTGACCGGTCCGAGACTGCCTCCAGTGATCCCCACTTCTGGTGAATTATTTATTTCGGGTGTTCTTAAACCGGCAATGCCCTTTTTGGGGATTGTTGCAAAGTCTCTTTTGATTTTTCTTCTACGACCTGGTTCGTTTCTTCTCAATTGAAGCATATTTTCTAAATCTATAATATACAAGAATCCGGCTATTAGCAATTCGCTTGTTTGCTCGCCTCTTTTATATGCCGCTTCTATTTCTTTACTAGTGCGTTCGTCATATTGCCACCATCCTGGAAATTAAGGTTGTTTAATTTGTTGTTAAATGAAAGAGAAAATTTTTATAAAGTGTATACTGAATAATGCCTGAGTTTACATTATGTAAATCAAAAAAAAAAATTAACAAAATTCAACCAACATGGTTGACAAATATTTACACGATTATCTCAATAAACCAGCTTCCCCTTTTACAACTAAATTTTCGCGTTTATCACGCTTAATACTTCTTTTGCGAGTGGGTGTTTTCTTACAGTATTGCCAATTATTTGTTAGATCAATGATATAAATTTCACCACAAATCAAAATTTCTAATTGTGGTGTATTTAATTGAAACGCTTGTTCAATGTCTTCGTTTGTACGAGGGTCATACCGCCACCAACCTTAAATTTGATCATTTTAAACTAAAACCCAGGAGCAAGAAGGTAAATTACCGTTTTTGCCTTCATAGAACCACTGATAGCCACCGTCAAAACCTTCAGTTTCCTTTTGGTAGGGCTTCTCTAGTAAGTTAGGTTGTTCGATAAAGTCTTTTGGGATTTCTTGCCTACACATGGCACATTTCTTACTTTGATTTGCAATGCCTTTCACACACAGGAAACAAAAGATGTGGCCGCAAGGCAGTTGGGCGGGATGAACACAATTTTGGAGGCAAACAGCACACTCCAAGTTATCACCTGAAACGTACAATTCTGCAATGGGAAAACAACAAAAGTAAGTGCTTACCTATTTCGGTTGATTCCTTGGTGTGTGAGCCCCCTACATGACTCTTATGAAACGCTTCTGCCATTGATTCACACTTACTGTTTGATTTTACATGGAAATAAATCAAAAGTGTTTTTGTACAACAGATGAGAAATTCAGGAACTAAAAACTGACGTTGACGTAACAACCTCTTTTTGAGGTTTGTGTTTTGACACTTATGAGTCACGTGACTAAAACTCAAGCGTGCTATTGGTTCATTATATTAATACTGAAAATTTGAAATTTTAATAAAACAATTTTTTTATTAAAGAATATTTTTTTCTCAGCACATTTATGTGTTTGTTTATCTAAGACTTTTTTTAATTGTGCCGGTGTTAAATTGAAAATTTTTAAAGAACATGTGTATACAGGGTGAGGCAAGTTTTATCGCCATTCATTTTTTGAGAAAACATGTGATACTTATAAGACAAAAAAGCAGTGTATTGTATTATTATTATTATATTACTATATTCAATAAATAGCTAGCTAAACTGACGTTGACTTCTTTTTTGAGGTTTGTTTTTAACGTGAGCTACGTGACCAAAACCGAAGCGTGCTATTGGTTCATTATACGTCAAGAGATGACATTTTTAAATTTGGAAAATTAATAAACAATTTTTAATTACACAATATTTTTTCTTGTTGCATTTATGTGTTTATTTATCTAGGACATTTATTTATTTAATTATGCCTGTATAAAGATGGAAGTTTATAAACAAACATCTGTATACAGTGTGAGACAATTTTTATCGCCATTTATATTTTAAGAAAACATGTAATACACTGGCGGACACGGAATTTTGGACATCAGTTCAAAAAATGTCAATGTAAGCCACGCTTTATTGTCATTATGATTCACGTTCGAAACTAAATTTTGAAATTTTTAGTTGAAATTTATTTTTGGTGTCGATGTTCCGAAACAATAATGAGAGCAATTCGTGTTTTTATATAAGTTCAACAAATTATTTCGATTTGTTGTCATTTTTTCTACAGCTATCAGGACAAAAATTACATAAACCAAAAGTGTGATTAGTTGCCTAAGGCCCGTTTTACATTTTTATGTCAGTCAAATGACAAATCGTCCAAAATTCCGTGTCCGCCAGTGTACAGTTGGAGACAAAATACTTTGGTCGTCACTTTTCTGACACTTTAATGTGATTCAAGCTTTAACGTTAAAGTGAATAACAATTTCAAATTAATGACAGCTATTATATTTTCCTATCAAAAATATGTACATACAACTTGTCATCTATGATTGACAGTAGCTAAAAATAAGGTTAAGTGTCCTAAAGCATGCTTTACAATTTAATGTCACTTAAGTGACATTGACGACCAAAGTATTTTGTCTCCAACTGTACTTATAAGACAACAGCAGTGTATTGTATTTACAATATTATTTAATAAACAGCTTCATCATAATAAAATGGATAGCTCAAACTTAGCTTTAGTTTTTTCTTTATTTTAAAGAATTATAATAAAATATTCTTTGAGGAATAGAGGTAGCCTAAGACCTGTTATTCGTGTCTAGGGTTTATAAGACCCTTACTAGTATATGTTTTTTTAATTTTTTTAGTCATTTTGAAAAGCTCCTAAGTTCTAAAGTATTTGTGTAATGAATAAACCATGGTGACTGGTACATCATACCACCAACTCGCTCAATAGTCCCCCTAAACACGTAATGTCCTAGAATCCCTAATGTTTCTCTAGTGATAAAAGTGTAACTAAGCATTTCCATGTGAAAAAGTTCCCTTCTTGTCACAAATTAAGCAAATTTCTTAAAATGCCAATCATTATAAAAGACATCGAGTGGTCCCAGACCGAAAATACTGTGACAATAAAAGTCCCTTTAAGAGGAATTCACCACTCTAAAGTGGACATTTTTTACTCAAAACTGTACATCAAAGCATCTTTTGAACAATACTTTTTCGAAGTATTTCTCTACAAAGCAATTGATCCCAAAACGAGCACCTGTACGTTTACTTCAACCCACATTTTATTCGAACTAATAAAATGCGAAACCATCACTTGGGAACACCTCGAATTGGACATACCAAAAGCAGAAAAACAAGAACTTAAAAAATCCTACATTGAAGAAGAACACAAACGAATCCAAGACGAACATTCCGAACGTTTGAACAAAAAGAGCGAGTTAAAGAGACTCGCAGTTCGTGAACAAATCGCCCTGGATGCAAACCTGCGAGAAAAAATCGAAAACATCAAGAAGGACGAAAAAGAAAATGCGCTAAAGTGTATGGAAATTACACCACAAACAAATAGGACAAAAATTAAAAACAGTCAGAGGAAAAATGCACCACTCCCTCCACCCAGATCAAGCCAAACAATCACAGTTTCGTTCACCCCAAGAGAATTCCCCACTCCTTGCAGAGAATCAAGATTGGAGGAAGAAAACGCATGGCTTAGGAAACAAGCAGAAGCAAGAAGATCAGTCGGATTCATCAGCGAAGATCTCCGGCCCGAAGAACACAATCCGCAGTTTTTGAAAAGTAAAGGTGACGAATTTCTTAGAAGTCGAAACTATTTAGGGGCTGTGAGTGCCTACAGTTTCGGAATTAAACTAAACGATAAGTTTGCCGACCTTTATGTTGGTAGAGCCGAAGCGCATTTTGCTCTAGGTAAGAATGCAACAATTATACAGGGTGCGCCAGAAAAAAAAAAGTAAGGACAGACCACTGAACTCGTATTAATATTAAATAATTTGATTATTTTAATGAACAACAATTGTTGGTTTTTACTACCCTGAAAAATAAAACAGGCTGTTGGTTAAAAAAAACGTCTCCAACAGAAATTCTTTGAAGTTATCGATCCATTTTTCGCTTATTAAAACACAAAACAGTGAAATATTTCAGTCAAAAACAGAAATTGAGTAAAGTTAAATTTAAAGTCTTCACAATAATAAAACAAGATTTTAATCTTGCCTTTGTTTATCTCGAAAAACTCTAAAAATAAAAGATTTTCTCACACAAAAACATAGTAAATCATTCGAAACAGGGAAAAATGAGTCAAATTTCGATCAGATGTGGTAATTTTTCGTGTTGAAATACGAGAGTTTCTTGCTCAAAAAAAGCTAAATTCCTATAAACAAGCCGAAATAGCATTAATTTTAATAATTCGATTTTTTTTGACTAGTTTTGATGAAATTACAAAAGAATAAGAAAGTTTCTAACTCAAAAACGACAAAAATAATGCCAATTTCGATCAAATTTTATCTTGTTTGGATAAAATCTCACAAAATAAATAAGTTCCTAATTCAAAAATAAGCTAAACCCCTCAAAGTAGCGTCAATTTTTAAATAATTTGGTCGTTTTTTATTTGTTTTGACAAAATTACATCAAATAAGAGAATTTTTTACTCAAAATTGGGGTAAATTGATGGAAACAGCTTTCGATAAAATTTGGTGATTTTTCGTCTTAGAGCAAAATTTCTCAAAATTAATTATTATTTAATTTTAAAATAATTTGATTATTTTAATGAACAACAATTGTTGGTTTTTACTACTCTGAAAAATAAAACATGCTGTTGGTTAAAAAAACGTCTCCAGCAGAAATTCTTTGAAGTTATCGATCCATTTTTTTGCTTATTAAAACACAAAACAGTGAAATATTTCAGTCAAAAACAGAAATTGAGTAAAGTTAAATTTAAAAAGTTCATAATAATAAAACAAGATTTTAATCTTGCCTTTGTTTATCTCGAAAGACTCTAAAAATAAGAGATTTTCTCACACAAAAACATAGTAAATCATTCGAAACAGGGAAAAATGAGTCAAATTTCGATCAGATTTGGTAATTTTTCGTGTTGAAATACGAGAGTTTCTTGCTCAAAAAAAGCTAAATTCCTATAAACAAGCCAAAATAGCATTAATTTTAAAATAATTTGATCCTTTTTGACTAGTTTTGATGAAATTACAAGAGAATAAAAAAGTTTCTAACTCAAAAACGACAAAAATAATGCCAACTTCAATCAAATTTTATCTTGTTTGGATAAAATCTCACAAAATAAATAAGCTCCTGGTTAAAAAATAAGCTAAACCCCTTAAAGTAGCGTCAATTTTAAAATAATTTGGTCGTTTTTTTAATTGTTTTGACAAAATTACATGAAATAAGAGAATTTTTTACTCAAAAATGGGATAAATTGATGGAAACAGACCAGAATAATTAATAATTAATACGAGTTCAGTGGGTAAGACACCAGAAACATAAAAAAATGTTTAAAAAATTCTATCTGTCAAAAAATTTACACATTTATTTATTTTTTGACATTCGACATTTTTTTATATCAATTTAATGATACTGATGATCTTGTATATGTTTTTTTTACAATTATTTAGTAAAGAGACAAAAATTTTGTCATTAAAAGCCACAAATAACATTGAACAGAGTTACAATTTAGGATACAGCTTCTTTGTTTCCTTTTTTAATAGCCTATAGCAAAAAAACTTGGAAAATTATTTTTCCAACAGAAATAAATAGAGTCAAAGTGCAAACTTTAAACCCTCATAACTTCGAAATTTTTATAGATAAAATTTTTTTAACATTTTTTCCATGTTCCTGGTATCTTACCTTACATGACATTTTTCTCTGGGGCGCGAGTTCTGGCGCACCCTGTATAAGAAAAAAAACACAAAATCGTTTCAGGGAATTACAATAAGGCCATAACGGATTGTAGCACAGCTTTAGAACTGATGAAACCAGAAGTGCCCTTAAATCTGCGAGAGAGAGCCCTGTGTATTGGTACACGAGGCGTAGCCTTAGTTAAATTAGGATTAATCAAAGAGGGAATCGGTGAATTGAAAGCCAGTCTAACTCTTGTCCCCAACGAAAATTTCAGTTTACAACTAGAGGAAGCTTTGGATAGTTTAAATAACACAGATTAACAGTTTTTAATTACTTTACAAGACATGTACAAATTAACTCTCTATTTTACTTTTCTTTAAACCTAGAGACCTAAGTAGAGCATTCGGTGACGGATCTCGTCCCCTAAACTTCCTAAAAACTTTACTAGGATGGCAACTACCCCCCAGAGACAAAAACGTCTCCCTGTATCTCTTTCCAACTTCTCTAATTTTTTGGTCATCTCCTTGAACTTCATGAAACGCGCTATACACATCAGCGGCGATCATCCTCGACCAAACGTGCGAATAATAAGCCGCAGCCCACTCTTCCGTGAAAATCTGGGTGAAGGAACATGGGTGCGAATCGACTTTATCAAGCGGGAAGCATCGGAATTGGGGCCACAGTTTCTTGACTATTTCCAACCAATATTCCGTCGAGTGGTGCAATTCTAGATCTAGGGCTGCCAAGTACAACTCCCTGGATAAGTCAATCCCGGCTAAATGCTTGTGAGCTTCCATCAGACAATCAAACATATTTTCGGGGAGTTTTTCTTGACTGGAAATACTCTGAATTGTCTCTTTATTATACAACCAATGTGCCAAAACGTGACCACCAACTTCAACCGCGTCCCACTCAATATTAGAGGACCCTGAGACTTCCGAATAGGTGGTACTACTGAGTAAATGTTGCAAAGCCAACCCGAACTTGTGGAACAAATATCTGACTTCTTTGAACGTCAAGTGAGATTGTTTGTTGCCCAAAGGGGGCTCAAAATTGAAAATTAGAGCTGCCAACGGTTTGGTAGCGGATATTTTGCTCTGACTTTGGATCCCCACCATCCAACCATTGCTTTGCTGGATTGTGATCTTCTCATCGGACCTTGCATACGGGTCAAGATAAAAACCAGCAATTGGGGCACTTGTATGGTGCTCGAAAACATCATAAAATTTCACATCTTTGTGCCAAGTCGATATGTCGTTTCGTTGTTTTATTACAATGTTGAATAATCTCTCGGATAGTTCGAATACACCGTTCAAAACGGTCGGTAGTGGAAAATAATTTTTGAATTCCGCCTCATTGTAATTAAATAATGTGTTGAGTTGCTTTTTTCTCCAATACGGGACGTCCCAGAGTTCGATTCTGCCCCCTTTGAACCCCCGCTCGAGAGCAAACTCGTACAAACTCGCCAATTCTTTTTCTTGCGCTGGTTTGGCCTTCTCAAGGAGGGTGTTCAACATGTTGTTTACGTTTTCCACACGTTCTGCCATTTTAGTCTCCATTGATAAGTCTGCATACGTTTCAAAACCCAGTAATTTCGCTAGGTCGCGTCTCGCAGACCTAATTTCCTCCAAGTGGACCCCAGTTGATAAATCGCGGTCGCCATACCCCGACCCCCGATTCACCAAAGCTTGCCAGACATTCCACCGAATTTCCCGTTCAGGACAGTGTTGCATAATCGGTAGGTAAATATTGGGGTCAAGGGTCACTTTCCACGGCCCCTCGAGCGGCTTCGAGGGATTTGAAGCCGTGGATTTCAACAAATCTAACGGAAAGTCTCTCACTACTGATGGGTCTCGAATAATGTGAGAAAATTGTTTCGTACAAATGTCGACTTTTTGTTTAAATTGCATCCGTTCAGATGTGAGTTTGTTAATGTATTGTTTTAATTGGACTTTCCCTGAATCAGAGAGTTCCAAACCGTTTAATTTTCCCTCTAGTGCGAATTTGTTCAATACCCTAATTTCCTCCTCACTGTGAGTGTTTTCGCTCCCCAATTCTTTTTTAACCGAATCGTAAATGACGGAGCTGTTAAATTTCGCCGCACGGGCCCTTTTTGCACGGTCATGGATGGCTAAGTAACTTTTCGTGGGCATTAAACTACTGTTACCTAAGTATAAAGTCTTTGATAGGCCCCATGTCAGGTCTAGGGGGGCTACCATCTCTTCCAAAACTTGAAATACGTCTTTAAAAATGTCCCGGGTGCCTCGTTCTTCCAACGTGGTTTCGATTTCTTTCACACCAGCTTCCAAGTCGAGAGTTTGTTTTGCAATCGCAGCCATGCAGTTTTCAATGGTGATGTTGTTGAATTCAGGAAGACCGTCATTTTGAAGAAGTGGATTCTTCTCTGGTAAATCTTCACCTATTTCTGGCACCCTACAAGGGGAAATAATCGGTTTGGGGAGCCACCAGTGGGCAAAACTTACAAAACGATGTAACCATTTTTTCTTATTGAATTGAGTAAATGCGGTCTTCGCGACAAAATACGCTTCCCCAACAGTGTTAAAGCCATTATTCGACCAAACTTTTATGGAAAGATTATTTCAAAAATATAACCTCATCATTTTTACCGCACGGGTCGGGTTAGTGACTTTCACTATTGGCATTTAAACGTTGCCAGCCCTGGTTTATCTTTTTTTTTGTATTCTATAAGGCGATTTCAAGCGAGATACCGGTAGTAAATAGTATTTACCAATGGAGTTTAAGCGCATTTGGTTATTGTTAAGTTAATGAGCCCTTCTTACGTCATTTCCTACAACCGGTAAATACACTCCTCTGGAGCTGTTTTATTCAAAGAACTAGAATATATGGAAGGAGATTTTAACTGGTAGTAAAAGTAGGCAATGTTTTCTCTGTTGTATTAAAAGTTATACACATAATTTTCTCGTTTTTTATTAATAATTACAATTGTAATATACTTAACAGTATTAATGTTTTTCTAAATAATTTTTTTAACAGAATTAAATGACTCAGTGACGACATTGCACATCGTGTGACAAAATATCTTTTTTTATAAACTCTTGATTGCTTATTTGTACGAGGCACTATTTTACAGGGTTTTGTGTTCTAATGTGATTGTTTCATTTGTTTAATAACGTTTTTTTTTTGAAAGTTTAGTTCTAAATTTAATTTCAAACCTTTATTTAAAAAAAAACAAGGCTACATTTATATTTTTTAGAGTCAAATATGTCACAAATTTAAACTTTCCATATAAAGAAAAAGAATTCGGTGTTACACTGGATTCCAGTGACAAATTTTGTGCCACAACATCCTTTTTTTAGTGCTATTGTGGTACACAGGTGTATTGTTGATTGCATAATTTAGTACGAGTTGCTTCTTTCATCTATCCTTGTTCTTTGGTTTTATTATATACAAAAAAAACAGCTGTCTCTCTCCCACGTAAACATATGACAATCGTCCCGGCGGGTATTGAGGTTATAAATGATAACGTTATTAAAAAAATTAAAATTATAAAAGTATGGCCCAAGGAAGTAATACTGACAAATTGTATACCATTATTATTTGTAAAAATAAATATGTCTCAAAGACTAACAACAATAATTAGTAATTGTTCATCATCCATTTTTTTAAGTTAAATTCTTAGGTAGGTAAGAAATACACTAACTTGACATGATGGTTTCAGTTGAAAAAAATATTAAATAAAAATATAAAAATATTTTTATACTATTATTATTATTATTATTTATCAGATGATAAGGTGGTAACCGCTTACTGTTTTCTGCTTTCAAGCGGTTCGTATGCGACATTGACGTTAATGACAGAATCCCCTCATAAAGGGCAAAACCAAAAATAACCAACGCCCTAACCAAAGTAACTACCGGTAATGCGCTTGAAATTACTTATAATTATTAATTTATAAAAGAAGTTTAAACTGATTTTATTCTTTTCATACAAATGCGTTCAATACGTATAAAAATAAATAAAGTTTTGTCTAATTTTTAAAGATGAAAATTTTGGAGAATTTATTCCCCACGTTGCCAACTTTGTAATTACTAGTGGAAAACCAAAAGTTTCCAGAATTGACAGGGTGTAGAAAAATTGAAAGGTGCTGTTTTAGGCAAAGACTGAAAAAAGTCTGTTTTATTTATAGATGGTTGCGAATTTACATAATATTCCATTATAGGTTCATCGCCACGGATTTTCTCAAGTGCTTGAATCTGTAAATCGGGCGATTGCACCTTCAAAGTGATTTCATCGCGCTACATAAAAATCATGGCGGCCCCATCAACCGGTGTGGGTAAGTTTTAATTAATTTTCCGTATGTATTATGATCGAGTTAAATTTTCTTTAATAATTTACACTCTGGGTGCGATTTTTTTTGCTAATTTCGTGATTTTTTTGTCAGTGGTGCCTCGAAATTTTCGACTTCTGGAGGAACTCGAAGCAGGGCAAAAAGGCGTTTCGGATGGTACCATCAGTTGGGGGTTGGAAAACGACGATGATATGACTTTAACTCATTGGATGGGGATGATAATTGGCCCCCCTAGGACCCCGTATGAAAATAGGATGTATTCAGTGAAAATTGAATGTGGTCAGAGGTACCCAGATGATGCCCCTACTGCAAAATTCATTTCTAGGATCAACATGAACTGTATTAATAGCAGCACGGGTGTTGTAAGTAAATAATTGGGTGTGAACACGTGTTTAATTTTGTCACTTAGGTCGATAATAGACAAGTTCCAGTCTTAGCGAGATGGCAAAGGGATTACACGATTAAGACAGTTTTACAAGAATTACGTCGATTAATGACATTGAAGGAAAACATGAAACTTACACAGCCTCCAGAAGGCAGTTGTTTCTAGCCCTTGCGCCCTCCCAACACGTCCCCGTTACCCCCTGCTGCCAACTGCCCTCTGAGTGTTGATACCTGCACAACTCAGTCTTGTTGTCTTTTGTGAATAAGTATCAATCATTAAGTTAGTTACCCGAATGACATGAAAAGGGACAAGATGCAGAGGGGGCTTATGTGTAATGGCTACACCGCTAAATTAATTTTAGGTCATAAAATTTAGATACGCCATAAGTTCATACTGTTCAGCATTTATAGAACTGTACTGCTGATGTAATTATTCTGTTCATAATAAAACTTTACATAGGATGTGTTGCCGTTATTTGTGCAGGTTTTTCATAATCATAATTTGTAACTCTAATATTAATTTTTTTTCTTTATGTATATTATGAATTAAACTTGTTGCTTTCACCTGACTCAAACAACTTCAACACATCACGCACTTGTCTGCATTTCATGTTGACTCATCAACAATAAAAACAAACTAATGTTCACTTCTTTTTATTCCACTTTTGATCAAAAATGCTAAATTACAAACAAAACCTTGTAATAAGCTTTGTGTACTCAAACTGAATAAATATTTTGTGTGGACGAATAAAAACGTACCAGTAATTAAAACAAATCACATTTATTTTGAAAAAACAATCAACCACTGAAAAAAGTAGGCAAAATGATTGGTATCGTTAGCACAAATAAAAAAATTTGCTAAGTTTTAAATAATATATTAACAAATAACGTGACAATATTGAAATGGCAATGGAAATCGCTAAAGGCCAAATAAAACGAATCATATATTAAATTTCCTAGTTATTTACATCATGACGGGGACAAATAAACCTTATAAAATTAAATTTTACATTTGCTTAGAAAGAACTAGCCAGTAACGTCACGCTAAGAGTTTTCAACTATATATTTACTTCTTCGGTTTAAATTCAATTTTCCGCGTTTTGAGGGAAACCCACTTATGTCTCTTCATGTAGTAAACAATCCCGATGAGTAGTGTAAATATTCCAGTGGCTTTAATGACCATTCTTTTGCGGTCGTCAAATTCTGGTTCTGAAGTCCACTTGAGGAAAGTGGCGACATCTTTTGCTAATTGACTGGCAGTTGCAGGTGTCCCGTCTTCATATTCTATTACTTCATTGAACAAGGCTTGTGCCATTGAAATAGCCCCACCGGGGAAGTAGGGGTTGTAGTATTGTCCTTCCCTCATAACAACCCCAGCAGGAGCGTCGCAGTAGCCGGTCAATAGAGAGAAAATGTAATCCTCCCCTGAAATTCATGAAATTAGTTAATTGAAAATTTAGCCCAGTCAAATTAGACAAATCGGTGGAAAAAAATCCTAGAGGGTTGGAATTTTTTTTAAACGCTTTCTTTACACTTGGGTAGACATATATCAAGAGTCCCCGAAGTTGGGTGGTGAGCTCGAGGGGGAGGGGGTTAAAGGTGTCTTTTTTTGGTTTTTTGCTTATATCTTTATTTATGGTCCTTTGTATTTTTGCTGTAGGACTAACCGTAAGCGAGTTATAGGACAGAAAAGAAACATTATTTAAAAAAATGTGCTTTATCTGCATTTAAAACAGAATTAGTCTTGTAATTTAAAAAAACTGACAGTAAATTGAATTTACTGGGTCCAATATTTCATTAAAGGAGAGAGGAGTCACAAGAGTCTATGAATACTCATCGTTTATGTAATTTATGCAGAATTTTCTGTAGAAGTCTATTTCTGCATACAAATTTCCTACAAAAATGGTCCTATTCATTTTTGTCGTAGGACTAACTATAGGCTTCAAAAGCTTCAAAAGTTTGGAGTCCACATAAAATTGCATTAAAAATCCTTTGAAACACATTTCATTAGTATATGGTAAGTTTTTATATGTGTAGAGCGTTCCCCAACTAAGCTGGTCTGCCTGAAAGGTGACTCGAGTGTAAACATTTAAACGGAGATATAAATAAAAATTTTGGATGAAAGAGAGAATCAATCTGTAAGGGGGTTAAATGTTTAAACAAAGATATAAACATAACATTCTTTAGAGGTGTAAAAGGGCACTAAAATCAGATTTTTCGAAAATTAGTTTTTAAGGGAATAAAACGGTGTACACATTTAAAGGGATATAAAAACATTAAATTTAGAAAATATGATCCTTAGAGAGTGTAGAAGTGCACTTTTCAAATTTTAATGAAATAAAATAAAGTTTAAACGCTTCAAAACAAAATTAGAAACATGAAATTTCGAATTTTGAGAGTGCAGAAATGCACTGAGACGACACTTTATGAAAATCAACATTTAATATTTATCCATAAACATAGCCCATGCGAAGAACGAGACTACTATAACTGAGTGTTATACATAACATAGGTAATTATCTAGCTTTATAGAGTTCCTAAGCCTATGGAATGGTTTTTTGAACGGACTTTTTCCCATTTTATATCAGAAATACACGCGGACAAAGTCGCAGGCAAATGCTAGTTCAGCATATAAGGATGACTCGGAAGACTTGATAGACCCTCGTGACACCTTCTAATAAACTGTTGGATCCAATACATTCAATTTACTGTAAGCTTTATTCAAATCATCGATATTAACTTATCTATTTATTAATATTGTACTGAAGAAGACTGTAATTCGGTTTTCAATGTTTAAGTTGAAGACGAAGATGCAGCATATGAGGACGACTTGGAAGACTTTATACGACTCTCTAATGAAGTGTTGCACCCAATAAATTCAATTTGCTTTCAGTTTTTTCAAATCACAAGATTAATTCTATTTTAAATGCGGATAAAGGACATTTTTTTAAATGATGTTTTTTGTCAGCCCTATAACTCGCTTACAGTTAGTCCTACAACAAAAATGCTAAGAACCATTTTTGTAGGAAATTTTGTAGGCTTTAATTTTGATAAGCGGACAAAAACCGTTAGAAATAATAGTTTCCGAGATATAAGCAAAAAAACAAAAAAAAAACCCTTCGGCGACTTTTGATATATGTCTACCCAAAAATAAAGAAAGCGTTTAAAAAAAATTCCAACTCTAGGATTTTTTTCCACCGATCGCCCTATTTTTGTCTAATTTGACTGGGCTATTGAATTCACCTCCGTGACGGGCCAAGACGATGTAGCTAAGATCCGGCGGGAAAGCCCCGTTGTTGGCGGCACGCGCAGCCTCCTCGTTGGCGTAAGGATTGGGGAAATAGTCGGATAATTTTCCCGGTCTTTGGAACATGTTTCCGTTCTCGTCGGGGCCGTCAGTCACCATGATTTCTTCGGCTTCGGCTTTAGCTTCATCTTCGGTGTGTGACACTCCAACTAAATTACGATAAGCTATGAATCTCATGGAGTGACAGGCGGCACACACTTGTTTGTACACTTGGTACCCCCTTCTCACACTAAAACCACCAATTAGTAAATTTAAAACAGTTAAGGGAATGAAATGGGCACCTGGCGTGGTCAAGTGAGCTGAGAATACCGTTATGGCTCCATGGGTTTTTAGGGGGGTGCAACTCAAGGTCTGAGGCTTTGACTGATTGTTCAAGGGCGAAAACCAAAGCACCGGCGCCCCCAGCCAGCACTCCCAAAGTCCCTAGTAACTAAAATTAAAATTTCAAATGTATTAAATATTTCAAGAGTGGGGCAACTTACAGCTTTTCGACCCCTGGTCCATTCCCTTGTTGTTGAAAAGGAACTGATCTAAAACGTGATTGCAATGTTATATAACCCATAATTGCTATTATTTTCACGAAATAATGACCAACTCAGAAGTGAAGTGATGACATAACGTGTAAGAACCTGAATTAAAGTCCATTTTTTGGCAAACGCTCAACAATAAATTTGGTGTTATGTCGGTTTCATGTTACTGAGGGGTCTTATTTATTATAGGGGTGAATTACCTGAGTTACTGTTTTCCCGCAGGACGGTTTCAGGAGTCCTGCACCGCAAATCCTTCCAACACTCGCAGCCATGTTGACTAAGGGTGGTAACAGGTCAACAAAATTCCCCGTCTAATAACCAAAAGGAGTCGAAATATGCAACAAATGCATAAACTGAAGGAGAAAAGCCAAAGTTTATCCTTCACGTGAACGACTTCGTTCCAAGGGAAGGATAACAGAATTTTGACAGCTTTACGTAATAGTGCCAACTGGGGACTTTTGCTCTACAATGGGGATTTTAGTCCCGTCACAAAAAGTGCCTTTTATTTAAATAAAATAACGTCTATTAGCGTTCACAAGAACTTTTGATGCACAATCCACGCACATTAACTTACGCAAGAAACTTTTTGGCGTTTTATATTTTTTACTTCAAAATCTTCATATTGGCACTAGTGCGAAATACAGAAGCGTCGATTAAAATCCAATAGGTGCGAAACTAATTATAAAATTAATAATTCTACGTCGAAAGGTTTGACTTGTAAGTAATCATACATTTAATTATGTTAATATCGAGTGTTTGTGGATATAGAGGATTGGCGCTAATTGTCGTAAAAACAGTCAAAATTTTCCTACCCGCCACTGGTGGTGGGGTGAGTTTGTTAGTGTGGTACCACTGCTTTGCATCATTCGCTCCAGCTGTTTTGGGTACGCCATTTGGAAAATCGTATTTTCGAAATAGGTTGATTTGCAATTTGAATCGGTTAAAATCCTCGTCATCCTGTGTTCAAAGTGATTTATTCAAGATGAGTGCTGGAATGCCGGAGCTTGGCTCCAAAATAAGCCTAATATCGAAAGCCGATATCCGGTACGAGGGACGATTATTTACAGTAGACCCTAAAGAATGTACAATTGCTCTAGCTTCCGGTAAGTGTGATTTTTTACTAATTTACAGTAAATTTCTGTATGATAGTTGCAAAGTGCACTTCAAAATGTGCTTTGGGACCAAATTGGGGTCACTTCAAGTCTGGCGTTGTGGCAAAACTCTTTGTTCAAAGAGTGAGACAATTGTTACTTAATGCTTTATGAACTAATTCGTTATTTGGCAAAAATACTTGAACTATCAGATGTAACTTTTTACGGCCATAAAAAACTTGGAAACTCAACTTGTTTTTATACAGTTGACGCGCGCATTTCAAATTGGACGTTTTTTTCTTCCAGTTCGCTCATTTGGCACCGAAGACAGGGAGACCCCTTACCCCGTCCCAGCTCAGAATCAAGTCTACGACTACATTTTGTTCCGGGGCTCTGACATCAAAGACATACGAGTTGTGAATAGTGTCACTCAACCGCTCAACGATCCGGCAATTATGCAGCTATCTGTTCCACCAACATTGGGACAACAGCAGTTCCAGAATCACCCGATGATGGGTCACATGGGACCACAAATGGGACAATTCGCTTCGGGTTATGGACCTATGGCAGGTCTGTCAAGTGGCATGGTACCGGGTATGGGTATGTCCAGAGATCCCAGAGGTCTCGCTGGTAATAAACCAAATGATTTAATTATACCGGGTACGGAACAACCACAAGTCCTATCTCCTGCAGTTGAACCGCCTCGACCAAGCGAACACGGTAACGTTTTTTTGACGGCTTTTGCTTGCCATAATGCCATAGAATTGTCGCTTATGCGTGCTTATTGCAAGGAGCTAGGAAGTTGTTGTAGGAATTTAGTTTTATTTTGGGCATTTTCGGGGATGCATGTTGAATGTTGTCTATCCTTTGTTGAGTAAAAAATTTAATATAGCCCAGTCAAATTAGACAAAAATAGGGCGGGCGATCATTGGAAAAAAATCCTAGAGTTGGATTTTTTTTTAAACGCTTTCTTTATTCTTGGGTAGACATATATCAAAAGTCCCCGAAGGTGGGAGGCGAGCTCGAGGAGGGGGAGGGGGCTAAAGGTGTCTTTTTTTGTTTTTTTGCTTATATCGGAAAATATTACTCATAACGGTTTTTGTCTGCTTATCAGAATTAAACCTACAAAAATGGTCCTTTGCATTTTTGTTGTAGGACTAACCGTAAGCGAGTTATAGGTCTGACAAAAAACATCATTTAAAAAAAATGTGCTTTATCCGCATTTAAAACAGAATTAATCTTGTGATTCGAAAAAACTGAAAGCAAATTGAATTTATTGGGTGCAACACTTCATTAGAGAGTCAAAGTCTTCCGAGTCGTCCTCATATGCTGCATCTTCGTCTTCAACTTAAACATTGAAAACCGAATTACAGTCTTGTTCAGTACAATATTAATAAATAGATGATTTAATATCGATGATTTGAATAAAGCTTACAGTAAATTAAATGTATTGGATCCAACAGTTTATTAGAAGGTGCCACGAGGGTCTATCAAGTCTTCCGAGTCATCCTTATATGCTGAACTAGCATTTCCCTGCGACTTTGTCCGCGTGTATTTCTGATATAAAATGGGAAAAAGTCCGTTCACAAAACCATTCCATAGGCTTAGGAACTCTATAAAGCTAGATAATTACCTATGTTATGTATAACACTCAGTTATAGTAGTCTCGTTCTTCGCATGGGCTATGTTTATGGATAAATATTAAATGTTGATTTTCATAAAGTGTCGTCTCAGTGCATTTCTGCACTCTCAAAATTCGAAATTTCATGTTTCTAATTTTGTTTTGAAGCGTTTAAACTTTATTTTATTTCATTAAAATTTGAAAAGTGCACTTCTACACTCTCTAAGGATCATATTTTCTAAATTTAATGTTTTTATATCCCTTTAAATGTGTACACCGTTTTATTCCCTTAAAAACTAATTTTCGAAAAATCTGATTTTAGTGCCCCTTTACACCTCTCAAGAATTTTATGTTTATATCTTTGTTTAAACATTTACACCCCATTTAACCCCCTTACAGATTGATTCGCTCTTTCATCCAAAATTTTTATTTATATGTCCGTTTAAATGTTTACACCCGAGTCACCTTTCAGGCAGACCAGCTTAGTTGGGGAACGCTCTACACATATAAATACTTACCATAAACTAATGAAATATGTTTCAAAGTATTTTAATGCAATTTTATGTAGACTCCAAACTTTTGAAGCCTACGGTTAGTCCTACGACAAAAATGAATAGGACCATTTTGTAGGAAATTTTGATGCAGAAATAGACTTCTACAGAAAATTCTGCATAAATTACATAAACGATGAGTTTGTATTTATAGACCCTCGTGACTCCCCCTTCCTTTAATGAAGTATTGGACCCAGTAAATTCAATTTACTGTCAGTTTTTTTACAAGACTAATTCTGTTTTAAATGCAGATAAAGCACATTTTTTTAAATGATGTTTTTTGTCTGTCCTATAAATCGCTTACGGTTAGT